TACTGGGACAATGCCCTCTCTTGACCCAATGGCCACACTATGTTTGATGTGCCCAGGATGCAGTTTGCCCTCTCAGCTGCCTGGGAACACCACTGACTCTCCTTGAGCCTGCTGCTGACCAGCATACCCACATTGCTTTCTGCAGGGCTGCTCTGCAGCTGCTCCTCTTCCAGTTGAGACCTGTGCCAGGAGTTATTCCCTCCTAGCTGCACTGGTTCAATTTCACACACTGATGTGGGCCCAGTGCTCTAATCTATCCAGATCCCTCTGCAAAGCCTCTTGTCCTTCAAGAGAGTCAACAACACCTTCCACTTTAGTATCATCAGAAAATTTGCTAATGTGGCATTCAACTCCTGAATCCAGATCATGGATCAAAATATTGAACAGCACAGGGGTGAGGATGAAGCCCTGAGGGCACTGCTGGTGATGGCTCACCGGCCAGACGTGGCCATTCACTGGAACCCTCTGAGTCCTGCCATCCAGCTGGCTCTTCACCCAGCACACTATGAACCCATCCAGCCACAGCTGGACAACTTGTAAAGCCTCTTCTCCCAGGCAACTAGTGATTGGACAAGGGGAAACAGCCTCAAGTTGCATCAAGGGACATTCAGGTTAGATATTAGGAAAAATTTATTCACTGAAAGAATGGGGAAGGTGGCGGGGTCATCATCCCTGGAAGCGTCCAAAAAACAGGGAGATTATGGCACTTCATGATATGTTTTAGTGGGCACAGTGGTATTCAGTTGAAGACTGGACTTGATGATCTTGGAGTTCATTTGCAACTTTAATGATCTCATGGTTCTATGATGTCCCAGCAATCCTTTTCCACTCCAGACTAGCAAGTCTAGTGTGGCTGTCAGTAAGTAAATTTTTTCAATCTTTTTTTTTGGTGCTGAAGGAGTAAAAGGACAAACTGAGTTTTTTAGCCATCTGTTCCCACAGTGCTCTACTTATCTCCTCATAACCAGAGGCAGCTTCACCCACAGCAGTCTGTGATTGCTTCATACAACACACCACCACACCAATAGTGCCTACAATGCCTGCTGTGCAAACCAGGCACTCATTCCCTCAAACTAATTGTGTCAACTCCTCCTAGTTAACTGAATACTTTCTCTGTATCACCTCTGCTAAATATTTTAGGTTCATAAATATATTTCCTCTGGGGCTTTCTGGAAGAGCTCTATTGAAAATCTTCAAATATTTTTTTCAAAGGAGAATGCTCTGCTCTAGCTATTAATTAAAAGAGTTTTTATTGAAGATCTAGAGATTTTAGTACTAGTTTGAAACAAAGTTTATTAAAATATCCTACAGTATCTTTAAAATCATTCAACATAGCAATTTTTATTACCCAAAATCAGCAAAGCTGTGAAGGAACAAAATTAAATGTTTCTTTCAATGCTTCCAATCTATTGTGTCTTTGTAGTATATCTTGCAATTAAGAATTGCTAATCTCTTCATTACTAAAATAGCTCTTTCCTACCTCCAGAATATTGATTAAAAGCTCCAATCACTATTTATTGAATAATTTTAGTTTCTTTTTAAATCACAGATAATGTCTGCAGGAATCAATCCTCTTCTCCTTGAATATCCCCTTCATTTAGCTATTGTCATGTCCATCTTATCTTCTTTCTGGGACCAAAGTTTGCCTTCTTATATTTCAAATATAATGATACTCTACTCATTTTCATCTCACAAAACTGCATTATCAAATCCAAAGTTTCAAGATATGATCAACAAAAACTCTATTGAAACAGAGAACCATTTACAAAATATTTAAATATGAACTATAATGTAGAAAACAATAAACAATAAAAAGCCAGTAAAACCCTACAGTGTTGGCCATGGCATTTAGCTCAATCAGAAAGGTGAAACTCTATCACAGGGTGAACAAAATTCAGTCTGTAAGTGTGCTGGTGTTTGCTTGAAGGCAGTTTTATTATAACCTTTTAACACCTGACTGCTAATTTTAACTACTTAGAAGTTAAAGTGGATTGCACAAGTACCTCTAGTTCATTTCAGCACAAAATAACCAAACTTAGCGTAATACACAGTTGTGTACACAGCGCATAAATGTAGTCTTTGCACTGCTCCACGCTCAGCTGGTGCCTCTGCTGAGCACCACCTGTCTCACAGGTGCCTGCAGCACAAGTTCTGACTTAGCACAGGACAGCAGTAATAAAGCTGAAATAACAGTCAAACCACTAAGTATAATTTTTAAACTTGATCTAAGAGACTAAAGCCAGTCAGGTCACACTTCATCATAGGAAAACATTTTTTTTCCTGCAGGAAGCTATTTCTGCGTATGGGAATAATGTCACTGAAACAGCTCCATGTGATTTGAATCATAGCAAGTATCAACTAGCATATAAAAATAAAAATCAAACCAAATATTGATTTAAGCTGTCATAGATTTAGTAATAAGCCATCCATCCATCATATTTTTAAAAAATTAATACTTGTGTTAACCTAATACTTCAAGAGTCACTGTATTTTTCATTTTAACTAAGACTTTAAACCCTTTAAAACAAGAGTTGCAATGCAATTCCAATAAAAAAGAAGGATAAGGAGAGTCAAATACTTTTTTTCCTCAAAAAAAAAAAGGACCAGATAAAAAGTACCGTGTTAATTAATAACTGCAACTGAAATAGAGAATTCAAGTACGCACAAAGAAGCAAATCTCCTAACAATGTTTCTGATATTCCTGCTCTCTGCTCATGTTTTCCTCAAGAGTTTTAAGTATGACCCTTCGCATCACTGTTTCATAAACCAATGCCTCTGAACTTTTTCAGAAAGCAAGTCTGTGACTAACCCAGTGCCAAACTATATCTGATATTTCACTTCTGCAAAGCCTTAAACCCTGTACAGAGGTTTACACTGCAAGGAGGGAAGGCACACGGTACTCTGTTAACAATTTCCATCTCCAAGACAGATTCTCAGGGCTGTCCGGTAGTTACATGGTTTTATCCATGTTCATGTACAGAGATTTATAGCTTAACATTGCTACACCTCGTTTGCTCCTATAGCCATGAAATCTTGTACAAAACAGGATACAAAAAACAGTTATGGGCAAATTAAGGGTCTATAAAATCCTATGTAGATGTGATTCCTACCTAATCTTTCTGGTGTAATAAACTCCCATGGTAGGAATACATTTGTTTGAAAACAGGAAATGCTTTTTCATTTGCCATAGTAGACAAATACATTTGAATATCTTGATGAAATCTCCTGTAATAGTAAAGTAAATCTAAAGTAAAGTAATACACTGGGGTTTATGAGATTTTTAAAGTATTTATTATTTATATATTTAATAGCTGTATTAAACAAGGTTTCATGCACCATAGTTAATACTACTGCTCACTTTCCCAAGAGTTTTTGGAGTAGTGTCTTACTTTACTTCCATTACATTATTTTTATTTGTTCTATCACTTCAAAGTCTTTTTCAGTTTCATTTTGCATTAGGTAGGATTTCATAATTTTAAAATTATCATTTGTATGTAAAATGACCCATAATTTTGCTGTCCATTATTTTAATAAAATAAACATTTTAACAGCCTCAGAGATACTAATTACATTTTATACTCCACTACAAGGCCTAAAAATATTTTAGGTAGGTAAAATGCCAAAATACTAATGGTTTTAGACCACATCCCTTTGACTTTCAGCAAATGCTCAGACCACATGAGCATTTATGTAGCTAGGTTCATTCAGACAGTACTTAACAGCACTGGTTTAAGTAACCTTTTCACCAGGATCACAACAACACATACACATACACAGCACATGCTGTTACCATAACTGTTGTGCTAAGATTGATACTGAGATTTAAGTAAGAGACTAGTTTAAATCAATTGCTTCAAAACTGTCTCGAAGACATATCCATAATCAGGAAAACAGCCCTCTCAAGTGCAACACAGTTATAATTTTTAGGATCCAAGTGTCAACACTTGAAAATGGAATTAAACACTGGAGTCTCTTCAAACTTGACAGTTATCACCTTCAATATTTGACTGCTATCTCATCTAGCTCTGCAATACTTCTTGTCTTTTCTCCACGGTGAAGAGAAGGCTCAGGGGGATTTCATCACAGTATTACAGTACTTTAAGGGTATCTACAAAGAGTAGAGAGATTCTCACTTCACAAGGAGCCTCAAGGAAAGGACAAGTGGCAGTTGGCACAAGTTACACTGGTAGGAGTTTCATCGAAATATAAATTATTCTTTTACAGTGAGAACAATCAAATGCTGGAACAACCTCCTCAGAGCGGTGATGGAGTACCCATCGTTGGACAAAGTGGTGCACAAACTCATTCAGGCTTCCCTTCCCACAAAAGGGTGGAGCAGATGATCCTCTGAGATTGCTTCCAACCTGGGCCATTCTCTGGTTCTGCAGTTATGGTCCAGGAGTTCCCGTGTCAAAGAAAATACCATAGCATAAAGACAAGCAATCCTAGTCTTACGGAAATACTTAAGAAATAGACACAAAATTATTGTTCATACAACCCAGAGGGCAGTATTTGCCAACCATTTGCCAAGAGAGAAAGTTTTTAGTATGGTGGAGACCACACATTGGGGAAGAGTGTGACAGTTTTGTAAGAAGCTACAAAATTCTACTTTCAGCTTTCCTATTACTGCAATGCAAAATACTTATGCAGGGGAAAAGAAATGCTTATTTCAATCAAGAAATGTTATTTCAATCTGTATGTTCTAACATCTTAAACAACATGCTACAATTTTCTACACAAATCAGTTTTCAATTTGCAAAACAATGATCCCCTATGAAGTAAGATACACTGACTCAGAACAAATTTTAAGTGGGGAAGTGAAAACCCTCAATATTTACAATCATCTTTCTTACAGTCTTACAGATTGCTTTATATAATTGTTGAAGCTGTCATTCTATTGTCAGCTGGTTACAGCCTCAAAAAACCACTCCCTTCTGGCTGATCAAAGCAAGCAGCTACCAGACAAAATTAATTTTTTTATTTTACATTTTTTAACTCACCTGCTTGGGAAGACGGAAGAGAGAATTTTTGTAAAATATATCTTTAGCCTGGCTCCATGTTCCATCAATGATGATCATAATAGATGAACTAGGAGACATCACTGCAACTTCTTCCAAATTGGTTGCTTCAGCTCCAGGATATAAAATTAGAGTATTGGGATTCCTGCACACAGTTGCTAATTCAGGATACCTTTCACGCACAGAAACAAAAAATAATTATTGAAGGTTTTCATGACAGACACATACTTGCAGATACTCTAAGTTACTAGCTCCCACTCATTTTCCCCAAATTGTACTTAAAATGTTCCTTTCTCAGCTACCACTTTCTTTTTCCAACAACTCAGAAGCTGTTGGTTCTCTCTCCTGTGAAGAGGGAAAAAACACACAAAAGTAATCAATGAAACCTTGATAAAGCAATATATCAGGAATATTTTCCAGCACTTTAATCACTAAGTCTAACGTCCATTAGAACCAAAGATGTTTTGAATTGTTTACAAAAATTTAACATGTATCTAGCAAAATTTGTTCAAGCACTTGCCATGCTGATGGCAAACTCATTGAAGCCACCAAATTTCAAGTGGAGATTGAGAAGCTGAATTTCTAAAAAAGTACTTTTCTTCCTACAGATCAGAGGTTGACTTTTAAAGAATTTAAAATTCCGTATCAGCCAGGGCAAAAAAGAGAGAGAACATTGCCACATGAGAATTAAAAGAAGGTCTTAAACAGTCTGTTTCCCCTGAGTGACAATGTGAACTTACTTCTTAATTTAGGTACTGTACTTCAGTGTATTTCCAGACTCTGTAGGCTTTAGAATTACTTTGTTTTCAAGCTACTTCACAAACAACTTTTTTCATTCAAAGAGTGGATCACAAAGAATTTCAAATACAAAAATTGTCCTATGTTAACTTAAAAGCCATGAAGACAATCAACTAAGCACAGTCTTCATTTACTTATTATACGTATTCATGCACTATTAAAAACACTTATCAAAAGCTTCATGTAGATTTGTTATGATTAAGACTTGGAAGCCATGAATCTGTATCCTTAAGTAACAATCTCAAAAGAATATAGCAAATCTCTGATGAAATTAGGAATATACCCAATTCACTCATACATATGTAACAAGAAAAAAGATATGTAACATTCCACCCTTAGCCAAAGCAATCATTTGACTGAGCTCTTAATTGTGAGTGGGAGGGGGAAGAAGAATACAGTATGAGTTTTTCTTTCAGAAATATTATTCTCTATATAAATATATATATGTATGTATATATATGCCATATACATAAACTGAGGACCCCTGGTGGTCTAGTGGTTAGGATGTGGTGCTCTCACCGCTGTGGTCCGGGTTCGATTCCCGGTCAGGGAACTCCTCCGGGCAGATGGAGCTCGTCAGCCCTGTAAGGCCATCCATCTAAGAGAAGGTCACTCTAAACAAACCTACGTCCTGAGGACCTCGCTGCCACCGTCCAAACTTTGCTCGGTCCCAGCAGATGAACCTCAGGATTAAAGGGTGGGCTCAGTTCAGCGCACACTGTGTCTCACCTAAAAAATCCACTGCGCAGGATCGAGGGGTAATGACCTTTCCCAAATCTTTGTTCGCGAAGACTGGCCATGATACATAAACTATATAAACTACAAGAGTTTATAATAATTTTTAGTTGATGTCATCTGAAAGGACCTGATAATGAACGTGACTTAGTTGCCTGTAAAGGCATGATTTAGGTCTCTTAATTAGTGTTAAGTGAGTACTAAGCAATACAAACCCTGAGATTAGCTCAGTTGGTTAGAGCACAGTGCTAATAATGCCAAGGTTGTGGGTTTGATTCCCACAGGGGCCATTCACTTACAAGTTGGATTCAATGGTCCTTGAGGGTCCCTTCCAACTCAGAATATTCTGTGATTATGTGAAAAATAATTACTAAAATGTGATTTAAGTGATGGAAGTGACACTTGGTAGGAATTAAAAGGACTTTAAATTATATGTGCTAGATGTTAAAGAAAAAGAGCTTACTTGAAAAATACACTCAGGTAAAAGGAAGCTTTACTTTTTCTGAAGCCTGCAAGGCAGAGCAAGATTTGTTCTTTTCTCTGTGTGTCTCCAAGTAAAAACTAAGGAACAAAAGATTAAAGTGGGGGCATATGAAGAATCAGATGGCTTGGACTTTTCTTTTCTAACCAAGACAACAGAATTTTAAAAACAAAAGCTATTCACAGAATTGATGGGCAATACTACAAATAAGTATGAAAGGAAAAAACAAATCAGAAAACAAAATACAGCAATGCAATGAGAACTTTTTCCATATCCTGAACACTTCACTGATGTCATAAACTGTATGAAATAGAATAAGTATAAGCAAACATGAACACAGATCCAACAGGGACTCTCTAAGACACTAAAGATGGCTATGAAAGTATAGCACAAGACTAAACGAGTACTACAAGAACCATCACACTGGTCTGCAATTCAGAGAAAGAATTAGTAATAAATAAAATTAGCAATAAGTAGAATCTCAAAAATCATATTTCACCGTCGACTTTTTCAATGGAATAATGTGGGCAACACCAGCAGCATCAACCCACAAGTCAGCTCATACATTAGAATACAGACCACCTCAAAAAGTCCTCTGCTGCAATTAAAATGCAATGTTCTTTCCTATACACACAACAACCCCTCCCAAAATTCTGCAGAAAGTCCACTAGCAAAAACAACAAGAGAGATGAAACTAACTCATTCTGCTTTTGCCAAGAAAGTCTGGACCAGATGATCCTTGAGATCCCCTTATACCTTGGTATTCTATAATTCTATGGTACATATATAATGAATATCAATGGCCAGTGTTGCTCTTTAGCTGATCTTATTCTTAAAACACAATGATTTCAAGTAATTGAAGGAATATCCTCTATACTGACTATGCTTAAGAAATATCATCTGTTCATATATCACGACATTTCCAGTACTTTCATTAGCAGTTTGCAGACTTTAGAAAATGCTGGAATTCCCAAGAGAAATCAATTTTTATCATTTACAGTTGAAGTAATCCAGTCTGAAGATAACCACTTTCTTTCTATAAATACAGCAACACAGAATTTCTCATCTGTTAGCCATCTTTCCATGACCAACAGTTAATGTAAAGTTCAAGATGATATAATTTAAAAGACATGCCGTAATTTGCAACTATGGACTTGAACTCTTAAAAGAAATACTTGCAATACTTGCTTCTGATACAAACCACTGTTCAGCTTTGGGTTTGGTATGCAGCAGGCATTGAAAGCCTTTATAATCCATTTAGTCTGATAACAATCTCTGCTAGAGTAGAACTATTCAGATGTTTCATTCGTGCCTCAATTATATCCAACTGCTTTGTCATAGCAGATTTATACATTCTCATGATTGTACTTAAGACAAGTAGCATTTCATTATTTCTGGGATCCATGCTCTTGAGATGCGTAATTTAGACACTATCTTATCTCATAATCCCGTTTTTGTATCATAAACATTTTTATTACACATGCACAGTCAGTTGCTCTCAAACTCTCTAAGTGGTTTTAGTTCCGCAGAGATGTATTAAACTTTGCCAAGGTGAAAGGCAAGCATTCAAATTTTAAAAATCCAACACTGCCATTTGGTAGCAAACAATACAAATATTAAAGAACAGATGCTAATTTATTATCTGTAGAAAACTATCACGTTAATGGGAACTTCTCAGTTTTTGTTGTCATTTTTACTATTTCACCTTAGTCATAAGAAGGTACCTTGGCCTTTCTCAATACTCCCGTGCTTGGGAGAATGTAGGAATGCTGATTGCCATAATTCCCATAAGGTAGCAATTCCCATCAAGTAATAAAATGAATAAAAATAAAGGTAACTATCCTCTGTCATTTCTCCATTCAGAAAGATGCCCTTAGGATCAGGACTGAAGCATGAGAGATATCCAGCAAGAGATATCAACTGCTTTTTTATCTACTTTTTTATCATTTATCTACTTTTTTGTAGATAAATGACATTTACTCTCTAATACACTCTGTATTTTTGTTCTTCACTTTTAAACACGTTAATTGTATACACAAATTATCTTTGGTCAAAAGATCAAATAATGACATATATTTTTAAGGTTTTGAAACCTGTAATTTTATAACTAAATGTTTTAACATTTACTAGGGAAAGAGGTCATAAATACAGCTTATTAAATAACCCTTTTTATTCTATGAAAATATGTATATAAAAAACTTTTCTAGCAAAGGTTCTACTGAGTTCCCCTGTAAAAAAAGCATCATTACTACCACCTCCAAATAACATTCGCTTTTACAGCATAACATGGAAATAAAACAAAGGTGAGTTTGTACTGGTACCCTAGCGCTTGATATTACTGTGACAAGTGGAGCTGGCCTGCAACATTTAATAAACTACAATAAAAAGGAATAATAGGTAATAGTGGGTTGTTTTTATTGTCTTCTATTACTTCAATTTCAATTTACTTCTCCCTTCTCATATACTGTGCTAAAGTAAAAACAGAACATAAGCTAGTAATAAAAGGAAAACTATTTCCTGCCTGTACTATCAAAGTACATACTTTTCTAGAAAAAATGGTTTTCAACCAATCTCAACATGTAAAAACCTGATTATTCCAACCAGTATGTCCACAATCATCTTTGGTGACATTGGCAGATTAGTTTTGAAAATGAATGCAATGGCAAGGAGGGGAAGAGGGGAAGGAATTCCTAAAGTTACAGGTCCAGCTTGGTAGGAAATATATATATATATATATATATATATATATATACACATATACACATATACACACACACACATATATACGCACACACCTTAATTCTAGCTTGATGTATAACAAGAAAACAAAGCAGAGAATTTTACAGAGAAAAGAGTTCAGATCAAAACTTCTAAAAACAGCTAAAATATTGAAGCAAATTAGAAACCGAAGTGCAGGAAATAAACTACGTGTTTGAAACAGCAGCAGCAATTATTGTATCTAGAAATGCTATATCACTAACATAAATAGCATCCATTACTGTTTCTCTGAAAAAGCTGCATATTTTACTTCAAGGAAGTAATGCACCTGTTTCTCATCTCTAATGGCCTAGTGTAATTAATTTCACTATTAACATAAAGCATTCACAACAAATTATTTCCAAGTGAAACAAGGGGAATAAATTACTAATGCCAAGCAA